AAGACCCTGAGCTTCCAGTTGCTGGCCACTTCAACACACTACCCTGTTTTCTGACTAACATCCCTGTCTCAGGCTTGCTGCAATGCTCCAGCGAAGCTCAGCGCAAGCTGAAAGAACATGCTTTAGTTCCTTTAAAAGATGTTTCTGTGCACCTCTAACTGAGGGAACTTCAACTCGACTCTCTACTTCATGCAACATAATGCTGATAGCTTCGAATTTAAGTAATTTGTAACTTCTTTCCTTCTTAGATACGTGTGTGTGTGTGTGTGTGTGTGTGTGTGTGTGAGAGAGAGAGAGAGAGAGAGAGAATGTCTGCGATGAACCCTAAGTTTTGAATGTAGTAATAACTTATATTGACAAAATATAATTTAAGGGAAAATTTTCCACTGGTTGGAGTCATACGTAATACCCATTCTCATCTACTATATCAATGACATTACCACCATCATAAGAGAGAAGTGTGGATATTTGTCAATGATTGCACAGGATTCAGTTGTATTCAGAACTCCTCAGAGAATGAATCATCTAACTGGATATGTGCAACAACAAAACTTGAGCTGATAAGTGGCAAGTGGTTGATTCTTAATTATTCTCTTAAATGGTCTAGCAAGCCCTAACCACTGCAAAGCAATAAATGGAATCAAACCAGACAGGTCAACCAGTATCTTCTAAAGCACTAAAAATAATGGAACACACAGTCCTGTTGACCCTACAAAATCCTCCTGATTAACATCTGGGGAATCGTGCAATCGTTGGAGTGCTGTCCCACAGACTAGTGAGCAGTAGCCTGGCATAGTCATACTCCCGGAATTATACCTTACAATATTCCAGATGTCACATCACCAACCATGGGTATGTCCTTTGTCAAATGTTGCTGCACAGTGGTATAGAGTCAGGAAGGAGTTACACTCAACATTGACTCCACACTTATGGCATCTCATAACATTGAGATTAACATGAGCAAGGAAACATCCTGCTGATTACTACGTAGTGCCCCCTTTCGGCTGATGAATCAGTTCTCCTCCATGTTGACCACCACTTGGAGCATACGTTGAGTGTGGCAAGGGTGCAAATTACACTCCGAATGGGTGTCTTAAAGGTCCATTAAAAGAGATAATGCGATTCCTCAGAATGGGTAGATTTTATAGGAAGTTTGTTCCAAATTTAAACTCAGTAGCCTGCTCCATTATTGAATAAGAAAATCAAATACTACTGGACTGATTTTTGTCAGATTTGCTTTGAAAGATGAAAAGCTGTCTTGAAACATAAGCCTGTGTCAGTCGCTTCAACTATCAACAAGCCACTCAAGATAGTAACTGATGCCAAGAATTGCTACAAGATGATGATGCTAACACAGAGCATCCAGTTAGTTAATATAATTTGCCACATCTGGTTCACTTCTGTATTGTCATGGCAACATAATTGTCCTTATTTAATTTTAAAGTACGAGTCTTGGACTCACTCTTCTCTCCTTCAAACTGAACATAAAATACAATAAAATTTTGATCACTGCTACTTGCAGCATATTCAAAATGAAATAATGAATTAATGCTATTACATTGCATGATACCAGGTGGTACCAGAATTCCTGTTATAAGAAATCAACATAAAAACATTTTATAAACTCCTGAAGTATTTGCCCTACTGACTTTTATAATTGCTATGTCGTTTAAAATTTCCCACGATTATCACTGTACTTTTCTTACAAACTCTCGTTATTTTTCCTTTATGCTCCATCTTATCATGTGGTTAGGAGGCCTGTACTCCACTTCCACAAGAGACTTCTTGCCTGTTTCTACATCCTGGTTTCCTGAGGTTATCCCTCTCTATTTTACTAAGGCTATCATTAATTAATAGTGACATCCCTCCACCTTTTTCTAGTTCCTGTCCTTCCTAAATGTAAGTATACTTCAATATCTGGGTTCAATCAATGTTATTCTGCAACTATGCCTCTATAGTGGTTAGCAGATCATATTTAATTATTTCTATTTACCTTCTTAGTTGATCCATTTAGTTATCTATGCCAAATGCATTCCGATACCGATCCTTTAATTTTGTGCTTTAATTATTTTTGTAACCTTTAGCCTTATCTGTTGATTCACTCTTAGATTTGTATTCTCTATTCCTTCCTCTCTCGGTCTGTTTATTATCTCCCATGTTAATAATTTTCTCTTTTGCTTTGTCTCGTCTCTTTAGTTTACCACAACTTCTTCCCCACAAGTTAGTTTAAAACCCTTTTTACTTTGGCAGTTGTGTGGCTTGCTAGAATATAGGCCTTAGCATGGTTCAGGTGTATGTCATGTTGACATACAGGCCTCATTTTCCCCTTAATGTAGACCTCAATTAAATCTTTCCTCAGCCTTTTCTGCTCCAAAGAATATAATCCACGTTATCTAATCATTTCTCAAATCCTCTATTGTGCTTCGTCAGCATAATTGCCCAAGAGTCATAGAGGTTTTAGCCCTTTCTAGTATTACCACATCATTCCTGTAACATGGTGATCAGAATTGTACACATCAGCCTAGCTGCAGTCTCACTATATATTGGCTCAATAAGAAACTCAGCATGGGTCTGGTAGCGTGTGTAGAAAGAGAAAAAGAGTTAATGTTTCAACTCTAATACAATCATAAAAGTTTTGAAAAGCTGTAATTTAAATAACTATTAAAGGTACTAAATTAATAAAGATTTGCCAAAACCAATCCCTGAGTTTCAGAAACTAATTTTGATTGGAACATTAATGGGTACTTGCTGGAACACAGGAGAGGTTGTGAATTGATCTGAACCTTTATTATTCTCAGAGTTCACTGTGTTATAACATTGCTAAGTTTTGCAGCAGAGCCATTTGTTACTGCGGGTAAGGCTTCCTCCCTACCTTCGTTCTTCGTACAGTTTCTTTTTAATATGTGTTTCTTTAATACTGAAGTTAAAATATCATCAAATTGTGTGGAGGTTTGAGACCTGAGGGTTGTGTGGGTATAAAAATCAGGTGAAGTTGCTCATTTTGTTCTCTTTTTGTAGCCTGCAGGTATGGAGTCTGGTGGTAGAGGCTTTGACTTTCTTTCTATCACACAGCTGATAGTTGGAAGGAATTGCAGATTGATGCTCAGCCTGTTTGGCTATCTTATGAATTTATCTTGAATAAATTTGTCCTAGAATGGGTCTTGAACCTAAAACTTATGGCTCAGAAGCAGGATGCTACCCACTGTGTCACAAAACTGTTCAATTTTAGGTTGTGTTATACTGGGTTCTCTTTTAATTTCCCTTCACAGTTTTAAAAAAAATGTCACTATAGTCCTACTAGACAATAGGGCTGCTCTCTCATCAGAGAGAGACAACAGTGGCAGTTTAACCTGAGTGTCACAACACCTCAGGCAAGTGGAGAAGTTAAGAAGGAAAGTTCTTCATAGTAACCTCAGCGAGTACAGGAATTGAACCGACACTGATAGCATTACTCTGCATTGCCAACCAACCAACCCATCTTTATGAATATTTTCGAATCAATCTGTTTGGAGATATTATAACACAGTTCTGGAAGAAAGGGTCTTGAACCTGATCCTTTTGGGTGAGAGGTAGAGACACTACCACATTATCACAAGGCCCACGAACAGAGTCTGGAGAGAAAGGAATGGGTTCATTCTGAACACAAAGCCCAGATTTAAGCTCCAAAGCAGTCAAAGTAGGACTTAAACTTTCAATTTTCTGATAATATCACAAACCATCTGAAAGTCCGACAACCTATCCATCAGGCCATGCAACCATCAAATTAGTTGGCAGATAATGTTTTGACATGTGCATTGTCCATAAACACAGCCCTCACTTTTGCACTGGAGCATCACCCTAGATTTTTGCCTGGTCAAATTTCTGGAGTGAGGATTTGAACATCCAACCTTCAGACTCCAGAACAAGAGTGCTTTTAACTGGGCCACCCATAACATTAATAAAGTCAGTCACCATAGTTCCAGAGGGCTGCTGTCTCGTATGATACAACTGGTGGTAAGTTTCATATGAGGGTCACCATGCCTTAGTCAAGGAGCAAGTCTGAGAAGGCAGGACCTTCATGTTGACCTCAGCCAATGCAGGATTTGGCCCACACTGTAGGCATCACTCTGCATTGCAAGTGAGTTGACCAAGCTACCCTCCCTCTCACTCCTTGTATGGTATATGCGGTAGTTGTTTATACCTAAACAATCTAACGTGGTTTGAATACATTCACTGACATCAATCCTCCTTGCTGATCTTAGTGTAAGTCACTGCTGATACCAAGTGGAGAAGATGTCCACAAACAGTGTTCAGGAGGACTCAGAAGATAACAACAGTACAGCACAGGGTTGGTCTTACTGAAAGGAAAAGGCTCCTTACGTAGTACCTAATAGCTAGTTACATGACATCCGAAGCACAGAAGTCTCTTGTGAGACCATAAGACAAAGCAGTAAAGAGCTATTCACCCCATCGAGTCTGCTGCTCCATTCAATGAAATCATAATCGATCCAAACGGCTGGAATTCAATTAAAGTAGACATCATTGTTTGATTACATGAAACTGACCACTGGAACAAAAGCTGGTAACAAAAGCACACCTCCAGCTCCTCCCGGGAACAGTCCCTTATATGCTTTGATATCAGGTAACCCTTTCGGGAATCAACTATCTTGCCGACAAAGCTGTTCGTGTTGACAGCGTGTCTTATCACAGTCCTCTTTCAACCTCTTTGCTCCGATATTCTATTCTGCCTAGGTCAATAAAGGAAGATTGTCTCCCGAACGAACGGGAATCGTTCCAACGGAAATCCTGGTCAAGTTTCGCCCCTACGCTGCGTAGCAGTTTCCCCGCTCGGATTTGGGAAGGCGTGCATTGTGGCGTTGCTGCGTGCCAGGTCGAGCCGCCAATGAAGCAGCGAGGGGGCGGGGACTGGGTTTGAGAATGTGAATAAGTGGGCTCACCTCCTGATTGCGTGCGGCTTGCATTCAACTGGTCCTCCAGCTAACGGCAATATGGCTGAGAACAAGGAAGAAGTTCGGTACTACCGGCTGGAGGAGTTGAAACAGCACAGTAGTGGCAACAGTACCTGGATCCATATTCACGACAAAATATACGATGTGACCAAGTTCCTGGAGGAGGTATGGTTCTTCGAAATGCTCTGATTGCTTTGAAATAGTTTTTCCCCACTCACTTATCTAGTTCATTCGTATCAGAGCCTCTCACCCAACTATGCATAAACAATTTTCTATTCATGATACAAAATCAAAACGTTTGTCAAGCGTACCCTAGTTTTCCCCTGACTTTAAGAAGTTCCTTTTTCGGAATGTTACCTGGCTGCAAGGACGCAGAAAGTTTGTAACCTCTCGTGGACTTTATTCCTCGGCTTTAAATCTGGCCATGCCGTACAACAGAACCCGTTACTGCGGCTAAATTCCACGGTTGTTTTTCCTTGTACTCCTGCGCACAGACTTTTGACGTCTGTTTCTGTAACACCGAAGTCAAGATGTTGGCTGCTTCTTTCCTGTTACAAAGGACAAGGTTTCCAGCTCTGAAGGCTTCCGTTGAAAATCGGATGTACCTGTTCGTTTTGGGCTATGAACCCTGCCCTGAACGCCAATATCTGGCTTTTTGAATTTCTGAGATTGCATGTAATTTGCAGCAGAGCTTACCCTGTTTCATTTAGGATTTTGTGGAAAACAGCCTAAAGGAATTAGGGACAGACATAAACGTATTTTTTTTTAAAGTGACTTCTAAAATCGTTATGAGAATGAAACCCTCCATCCTCTACCTTCAAATCCTTGTCAGGAAGCACTTGTTTCTTCCATCTGACCAACCCATTGCCAACCTTTGGGATTACACTCTCTTCCCGTCACCCCCAGACCCATAATAGACTTTTTCACAAATGGCATTCATTGCTTGAAGTTTGCCAGTTCCAAGGAAGTGAAGCAAACAGGCTACACGCGCCCTCATAATTAGTGTTTCTGCATTTTTTTATAATAGACAGCAAGACACGGTGTGTCCTGCCTGATTCAGTGGATTTTTGTTAAGGTTTATGAGAGTAACTTAGTTTTTTTTTTTGCTCATATCATCTAGCATGAGCTTACTCTGAGATTCCCCTGAAAGCACGTTACGTTAAGTCACTACATTCAAGTGGTGACTTGCAGCGTTTGTGTGACCAACCAAACTTTATAAACAGTGCCAAGTGTTTATAAGTTATGGCAGCAACTGGTTTTGTATTTGTTGACATGTAAAACTATTGAAATACACAGACATTAGTTCTAGAAGGGCTGTATTTTTCATAGTTTGAATTCAAAATTCCTTGTGTATCATACCAACATTTTTATATCTATGCATTTAGAAAGAATATTATATTAGATCCTTGGCCTTTTTGGTTTAAAAACAAAGTATTGAAACAAGTAAACAGAAAGAAGCTGTCTTGTCTTGTTACATTTGGATACTTAATTATATAATTCTGTTAATGGTTATCACTACTGTGAGAAAAGTAACCTGATTAACTCACTAGAAGTAATTAATTAGTTATTTGTAAACCTTTTTCCCAGAAATGCACATCCACTTCCATTTCCATGCCCATGGGATTAGGGTATCTCTCTGACAATGTCATCTTTAAAGTGACACTTTAGCTACAGTGTGGGTTGCAGTACATAGTCACATTTGTCAGCAAGCAAGTCACCTCTGTAAAGGCCCTGGGCTATTTTTTTTCGTATCAGGACTTGATACAGGCTGGATTTGTGTACTCTTTATCTAATTAACAGGGTGAAGCCAAAATACCCAGTCTTCATTGTGCCAGTGTCATAGTGATATTGATACTGTCTGGTATTTCGCCACCTCCACCGGCTTTTTCAGTAAGCTTGTGTAGCCTAGTCTGGAAACACGATTACAGCTTCTGAGAAGATGTCAGGACTCATGAAATGCTGTTAGGAAGATTGTGCTGTTTCTTGTTTTGTTTGTTGAAATTCTTCATGCACCCATTCACTTACTGTATTTGGCAAGATTTATTGGACATATCTGACTTCAGCAGAATAATTTTGAAATGTTTCTTATTTATTTGATTTCACGGAGTGATTTTTTTTTTAACCTAGCTGTTACTGTGAATTGGTTGATGTTTTAGGGAGTTTTATTTAATTCACCAACTTCAGTTTGCTTTCCAATGCACCAGTTTTTACTGCATATAGCTTTTTTTAAAAAATATATCAGCCTCCTTCCCAGGCAAAATATCAATATTAACAGACAATGCATTTGATCCAAGTGAATATATCTGAGCTGTGAAGTTTGAGGGAGCCCTCCTTTACATCTAGCAAGGAAGTGTTATTCCTTCTGCTTTGATGTGGAGGTGCCGTTGTTGGATGGGGGGGACGAGGTCAAAAGCCACACGGCAACAGGTTTACTTGAAATCACAAGCTTTCACAGCACTGCTCCATCATCAGGTGAAGTGTCTGAAAGCTTGTGATTTCAAATAAACCTGTTGGACTATAACCTGGTGTCATGTACTTCTGATCTTCCTTCTACTTGTTAGGGATACAGTTGATATATGACTTCACTACTTCCCTTTTGTGTCTGGCCTTTTTACTTTGGCTCCGTATGAAAGGGATTTTTAAATTATTAAAATTAATTTCAATTTGTTTATGGAATGTAGGAATTGCTGGGAAAACAAAATAGTTTGTTACCCTTGAAGGTATGGTATGTCACCTTGAATCATTGCAGCCCATTGTGGTTTGACACAATTGAATGATCTGTTTCCTGATAGTTCAAGTCACAAATCTGAAATCCTTTTGGACTGAATGTTCAGTTGCTCAAAGCTGACTCCATAGTGTTAATAGTTCTGTTTTTTAATTTAAGCTGAAGTAAGACTGAATGCGTTGCTGTATTCAAATCTAAGATTCACTAGTACAATTGATAATTCTGTTACCTGCTAGCACCCTTTAAGCGGAAAAGGTGGGCCAATCCCCTACCTTTCACTGACCTGTCAACACCTGACTGTGGTGTTCATTATGGCACTTGTGTTTATTAGCCCACCATGATGTATTCCAAAAAACAGAACTGTGGTTTGGGAACAACATCCAGTCATATACATGGCAAGACCTTTAATTCAAGTCCCGGCCTTGAACCTTTCCTAGCTGCACTTCAGCTTTGCAGGTGTTTTTTTTTTTTTTTTGCTCCGTAGTATGATTCAACTTTGTGGTCTGTGTTTTAAGTGTAACTGAACGTTTTATATTTAATATGTATTTTATTTTTAATTCTATGGATGAGTGAGAAATCTGAATATGTTTCTTCTTTTGTGTAGGATTTAAGCTGGAATGGGTTGCATTTGTTGCCTGTCCTTGACATTCTCATTAATGCTTACTTTATTCTCTCACTTATTGAGAATGACTGACTTAGTTCAAGACTAGGCGGTGGCCTCATGGTATTATTGTTAGACCATTAATTCAGAGACCCAGGTAATGTTTTTGGGAACCTGCATTCAAATCCTGCAGTGGCAGATGGTGGAATTTGATTTCAGTAATAATCTGGAAATAAGAGTCTAATAATGACTTTGAAACCATTGCTAATTGTCAGGCAAATAAATTCCATTATAGTTGGCTAATGACCTTTTAGGGAAAGAAATCTGCCATCCTTGCTTAGTCTGGCCTATGTGACTCAAAATATGCAGCAATATGGCTGGCCAGCATGTGTTGTTTTTTTGTCTATCCCTAGTTGCTTGTGAGAAGGTGGTGGTGAGCTGCTTGCTTGAAGCACTGCAGTCCGTCTGCTGTAGGTGGACTCACAATGCCGTTAGGGAATATAGTACAAGTCTTCAGTACTATTATCGGCATGTTGTCTGGGTCCACAAACTTTGCACTAACCAGTGGCTCTGACTGTCTTTGTTTTTTTTTCTCTGATATCGCTTGGAGTGAATTGAATTGGCTGAAGACTGGTATCTATAAAGCTGGGGACCACTGTGATACGTTGTAATGGATCATCCACTTGGCACTTTTGGCTGGAGATCCTGAAAATGCTTCAGCCTTGTCTTTTGCACTGATGGGCTCTTTCAACGAGGATGGAGGTAACCCATTGGTGTTGGACTTGTTTATGTCAATCACTTGCTGCTTATGATGTTTGGCATGCTAGTCCTGTTTGGTCACTTCCAGGTTGACACCTCATACTGTCCCTGGTTTGCCCTCCTACCCTCTCCATTGAACCAGGGTTGATCCCCTGGCTTGATTGTAATGGTTGAGGTAGGGGATATGTCGGGCCATTGGGTTGCAGAATTTGCTGCAGTCTCATGGATGGCCAGTCTTGAGTTGCTAGATCTGTTTGAAGTCTGTACCATTTAGCATGGTGATTCTGCCTCACAACATCATGGGGTTCTGTCTGTGAAGGTGGGACTTCATCTCCTTAAGTGGTCATTCTTACTGATACTGTCATTGACTGATGCATTTGTGGTCAGAATTTTGGTAAGGATGAGGTCAAGTATGTTTTTCCCTCTTGTTGCTTCCCTTACCACCTGCCACAGAACGAGTCTAGCAGATATGCCACTTAGTACTCAACAAGCTTAATCAATAGTGCTGCTCCCAATCCACACTTTGATGGAGGAAATTGAATTCTGTAATATTGTTCAACATGAAGGAATACTGATTCATCAATGGAGGACAGTAATCAGCAGGTGGTTTCCTTGCCCATGTTTAATCTGAAGCCGTGAAATGTCATGGGGTGCAGAGCCAGTGTTAAGGACTCCAAGGACAATTCCCTCAACTGTATACCACTGTGCCACCACCTTTTTACTGGGTCTGTAGTGCAGGTGGCACAGCACGTAACCAGGGATGGTGATGGTGGTGTCTGAGACATTGTTTGTAAGCTATGAGTCAATGACACTGACTGGCAAGCTGTTGCTTGAAAGGTCCGTAAGACAGTTTTCCAAATTTTGGCTCTAATCTCCAGGTGTAAGGAAGGAGGATTTGCATGGTCGACAGGGCTGTTTCTGCTTTGTCTTTTCCAGTCCCTAGGTGGATGCCAGGTGGTCCATCCTGTTTCTTTTTTTTTTTTTTTTTTTTGAGCGATTGGTACAACTGAGTGGTTTGTGAGGTCATTTCAAAAGGCAATTGACAGTCAACCATATTGTCTGAAGTTACAAATAGGCCAG